ATGGCCTGCAGGTGGAGGAGGGCGAGAGGCACGGCGTCCCGCAGGCATTCCCCGACACAAACAAGCGAAACCGGAAGTGGAGAGGTAAACCAAAAAAAAAGTTGTAAAAAAAAAGTTTGAAAAAAAAATGTAACGTTGGACTGAAGCTTAACGCGGCTTAACGTTGGAACGCGAAGTCATTCATAGTTACCTTCGGAAAATAAAGACGAGTGAATTTCGTGAGGCAAAATACGTAGCTCGGCAGCAGCCTGATTCCGAGAGTCGTTTTCGTCGCTCTGCCTCTCTCGCAATCGTGGGGCGTCCCTTAAAGGTGCGAGAGAGACAGAGCGACAAAAACGAGTCTCGGAATCAGTCTGCTGCTGCGGTTCTGGGCGTTCCAGGGCTGGCAGTACGAGCGTCGTCATTCTTACGAGGAAACACGACTAACCGTGAAAGTAAAGGAAATAAACGGATAATGGAGGACTCCTGAGGACCCCCGCTCTCTCTCTCTCTCTCTCTCTCTCTCTCTCTCTCTCTCTCTCTCTCTCTCTCTCTCTCTCTCTCTCTCTCTCTCTCTCTCTCTCTCTCTCTCTCTCTCTCTCTCTGCCAAGTCGTCAGAAGCTTCCGTGCCGTCAAGCGGCGTCCACATTTATCCCATTGCCATTGTGTTGGCTGTCCTTGTCTGCGTTACGCGCTCCCTGTCCTCGTCTCACTCACGCGTTCTCCCCCGGGGGCCCCTACAGTGGGGGCCCCTACAGTGGGGCGCCCCGGGTTCCGCCACTGCAAACGGAGTGTCTGGGCAATACTGTGCCAGCCATGCATGAAAATGGGGCCTCGGAGGCATAAAGCATACACAGCTTAGCCGCTTATGCGCATTCATTGGGTATTCCCGGGGCGAAGCGCGCCGCCAAGGCCTACACTGTAGGGCCCACAGTGTAGGCCCCCAGCGGTGCCACCCAGTCACCGCCGCCGTCAGGGCGTCGAGGGAGGGGCGGGGGTGACGGCGACGTGGAGGAGGCGCAGCGGCGCAGCACAGTGGGCCAGAAGACCGGTGGAGGCGGCCGAAACTGCAGACGCGTTTTGAGCTCCAGAGTCGCTAAACAGGACTCGAACCGAACGTGTGACCCCACCAATGGATTCCTCGTGCGGAGAGCAATCCATTGGTAGGGTCACACGGTCGGTTCGAGTCCCATTTAGCGACTCTGGAGCTCAAAACGCGTCTGGAGTTTCCACCGCCTCCACCGGTCCTCTGGCCCACTGCGCGGTTGTGGAGGAGGACGAGGACACAGAGGCCGAGGACAGGGAGGGGCCACGAGGTCGATGGATGCCCCGCGCGTGATGGATGGCATTGTCGTCGTGTTGATATCCTTGATGTCCTCAAAACGGCCCCCGCTGTTTTCGCAGCCGTCTGACCGCCGCCAGCGCCGCCTTGTCGCCACTTTTCCTCATAGGGCCACAGCAAAAATATGGTGACATTTTAGAGAAAAATTTTTGAAACGTCAAGGGACGCAGGGAGTGCTCAGTGAACAGTGCTACGAGCGTTCACGCGAGCGCCTCGTGCACGAACGCGGGCGCTCGAACCCAAGATAAGTAACTGAACGGCGTTGGAGCGGCTGGCCGTGGCTCTGGCAGCGAGACGTTTTCGTCGCTCTGTCTCTCTTGCACCTACACGGGACGCCCCATGAGTGCGAGAGAGACAGAGCGACGACTCTCGGAATGAGTCTGCGGGCCGCGCCAGGTGGCTCCAGGCCCATCCATTCTGCCCCATTGGCGGAGCAAGGCGGAGCACGGTGGGCCAGAAGACCGGTGGAGGCGGCCAAAACTCCCGACGCGTTTTGAGCTCCGGAGTCGCTAAACGGGACTCGAACCGGACGTGTGACCCCACCAATGGATTGCTCCCCACACGATGAATACATTGGTGGGGTCACACGCTCGGTCCGAGTCCCATTTAGCGACTCTGGAGCTCAAAACGCGTCCAGAGTTTTGGCCGCTTCCACCGGTCTTCTGGCCCACTGTGCGGAGCAAGGCGGAGCCATCCGCGCTGGCTATCTCGTCCGCAGCAGTTTCTCATAGCGACACGGGATTCTCGCGCTGCCGGTTCAATGGCGGGGAAAGGGGTCATGTTTGGAAAGTGTGGGGCGGGGCAGCGGGCCGTGCTACACTGGAGGGAGGGAGAGAGAGAGAGAGAGAGAGAGAGAGAGAGAGAGAGAGAGAGAGAGAGAGAGAGAGAGAGAGAGAGAACTTCCTGGGGTCAGTAGGTGAGTGAGTGAGCAGGCGGAGTGCAGAGAGAGTGAGTGTTCGGTTTAAGGTCCCAGTTAAGCAGTCCTGGGGCCTTAGTGCGCGAGGCTGGCCTAGAAGTAGCGGGGTCAATTAAAAACAACCGCCTAACGGCCTTCGGATAGCAGCAGTAAAAGCAAACGCAACAACACGGCTGCAGCACCCGACGCGGCAACTGAGCATAACTCAAAATGTTTCATCGTTAAATTTTTCCGCGCCGGTGACGTCGCGGAAAGCCAGTTCAGAGACGCAGCAGGAGAACCGTTTCCACAGCAACTAGTTTGTAGTAATTTTTTTTCGCGTAATCGCGTCAGGAGTGAGTGAGTGAGTGCTGTCAGATACCCCACGAAATAACGTCTCGCCCGGACATCGCATCGTCTGGCTGCGGAGCTTTCTACGTGAGCCACCGAATGGCAGTGGGATAGCGTGGCAGCTCCTTCCCCTCAGAGAGAGAGAGAGAGAGAGAGAGAGAGAGAGAGAGGTCATCGGACTGCGCCTGTCATGGTTTGAAGGGGCGGCATCGGAAGAGAGCCGTACTCCCTCCGCTTCTGATTTATTTATGTGTTATCTTTGCCTTCCGTTTTACTTTTACAACCATCATTTCAACTTCAAAGTGTCCACGGGACGTAGTCCAGTGCCCGCGGTCGCGGAAAACAAAAACGTTGTCTTTGCTGGCTTTTTGTCCGCGTTTCTAAAGGCGAACGTAACGTCGTCGGAAGGTTCTCTAGTCAAAATAAAAGAGAAGTAGCTAGAAACAATAAACGAAGTACGATAAACAATAATGCAACGGCACCCAACCTCTAATTTTTATAAATATTATACAATTTTATTTTTAAAAAAAAGTTCGCGTTTTTCCCTCTTTCCCCACGCCACGTTTAGGGGGTCTTCCCTCGAACACAATCCCATCTCCCCCCTTCCCCCCCCCCCTCTCTCTCTCTCTCTCACCGCAAAAAGGCGATGCCGGTGGCGGCGGGGTTTCGATCAACGGGGCTGGAGAGTAAGGCGGTCTACTACACTGGCCCCTCGCCACGGCACGCCGCGCGCCTCACCGCCGCGGAAAAGTAAATGTAGTGCAAGGTCAACACACACACATACACACACACACACACATACACACACATATACATATACATACATACATACATACATACATACATACATACATACATACATACATACATACATACATACATACATACATATACATACATATACACACACACACACACACACACACACTCACTCACTCACTCACTCACTCACTCACTCACCACACAACACACAGCGCATAGCGGCCATGCGTTGGCGGTGGTCGGTGGGCCGACCCGAAGCAGAGGCCAAAACCAAGTGCACGGCGAAAGCAACACACTGTTATTCTGTCCTACACCCGCCTACACCGTAAAGCGAGTCTTGCAAATAATTCAATAAATATGACTTTTTGATTTATCTTGATTTTTTTTTTTTTAGATTTTGTCTGGCTGTGTCGACGCACACCCCCCAATTAACCGCCACACCTGCCTGGCTGCGCCTGCTCGCCCGGCCGCAGCGATGCGACACGATTCGCCCCTATCTGGACGCCCGATCGTCCACACGCCGCGGAGCCCGCACACCGCCGGGCGAGGCACAGTGGGCCAGAAGACCAGCGGAGGCGGCAAAAACTCTAGACGCGTTTTGAGCCCCAGAGTCGCTAAACAGAGCTCGAACCGAACGTGTGACCCCACCAATGGACTGCTCTCCGAACGAGGAATCCATTGGTGGGGTCACACGTTCGGTTCGAGTCCCATTTAGCGACGCTGGGAGCTCAAAACGCGTCTAGAGTTTTGGCCGCCCTCACCGGTCTTCTGGCCCACTGTGCGAGGAGTCCCGAGGGTGGCAAGCGAGGCGAGCGACCAGCAGCGTGGACGAACACGGACAGCGGGGCTCGCGTCGAAAAATCCGGTGTGAATTAAACACACTGTTTCAAAAAATGGTCGTAAAAAGGATTGAAATTTGGTCGACAGCACGAGGGGTCCTATTCAAAAGATCTTATCTGGGCGTTCCCCCGAAGACAATCTTATCTTAAACGCCTGCAAATTTCACTCATTTTGATCAATCAGAATTAATACGACGGCAAGCGAAACATATTTCTAAATGCACTTTTGGTTTCTCCTCGCTACCATCTGTAGATTCACGCGATCAAACTCACCAATTATATTGATATGTAGCTCTCTCAAATGAACAAACTATGTAAAATTCACATGCGTTTAAGATAAGATTTTCTTCGGGGGAACGCCCAGATAAGATCTTTTGAATAGGACCCCTCGAGCATTGTTTTGACCAAGCAAGTGGACCAGAAGACCGGTTGAGGCGGCCAAAACTCTAAACGCGTTTTGAGCTTCGGAGTCGCTAAATGGGACTCGAATCGAACGTGTGACCCCACCAATGGAGCAATCCAATAGTGGGGTCACACATTCGATTTGAGTCCCATTAGCGACTCTGAAGCTCAAAACGCGTCTACAGTTAGACCACCAGCGCCGTTCTTCTGCCCCACTGTGCAGTGCTTATGACTTCTTAGCCGTGGTGACAAAAAACGAAAAGTCTCAGTCGACTAACTTGACATTTTTTTTCACAGTGCAGGGAACGCTGTTTCTGCCCCGCCTGCCCAGCCTGTCTTCTCCGAAAGCCAATCTCAACCTGCGCCGCTAAATCTAAATCCGCCTCCGAGGCTGCGGGGCGCTGCGAGGCGTGCAATAATATTTTATTACGAGCCCTGCTTGTCCTTTTCGTCCTTTTTGTTCTTTTTCTCTAATTGCCATTATTCTCCCGAGTGCCCGGCGGTGCCCGGGGGGACGGACGCGTTCGGAAAATCATAATTCCCTGGCAGATTCACCCGAGCGACGCTCCGAAGAGGCGGCGCTATTTCCGTCTCTCTCTCTCTCTCTCTCTCTCTCTCTCTCTCTCTCTCTCTCTCTCTCTCTCTCTCTCTCTCTCTCTCTCTCTCTCTCTCTCTCTCTCTCTCTCTCTCTCTCTCTCTCTCTCTCTCAGAAAACGGCGATTCAGCGGCAGCCCGCCGCGCGGCTGGCACCGGCCCCACGCTGTGCAAGCACTGCAAGCCCCAAGGCCACGCCAAGGCCGCGTTACACCGCCTTGTTCCGCCCCGCAGTGGGCCAGAAGACCGGCGGAGGCGGCCAAAACTCCATACGCGTTTTGAGCTCCAGAGTCGCTAAACAGGACTCGAACCGAACGTGTGACCCCACCAATGGCTTCCTCGTTCGGAGAGCAATCCATTGGTGGGGTCACACGTTCGGTTGGAGGCCCATTCAGCGACTCTGGAGCTCGAAACGCGTCGGACGCAACACTGTGTTTACACCGAACCTGTGGCGGGATGTGGGTGTTCTCGTGCACCGAAGTTCTCAGCACGCGGACTCGAATACCACGACGGCCAGGTTAGTTCAAATAGGCAGTGGAAGATTCATCACCATGACTCAAATAGAGGGAAAAGTCCAGGGAAAGTCAGACAGCACTGCAACGTACATTCGACCATGATCACGCCCCTCCACATCGTTCACGGCGCGTAGCTGGACTTAAAGTAGACACACCGGGGAATCAGATTCCGACATTGAGTCTGCATGCCACATTCGTCGGTCTCGAACCTCAAACACTCACCGGAACTGTTTGGTGGCGTGTGTCTTGGCGGTCGTCGTGCTGGTCTTGGAAAAGCTGGTCGCGGACAAGCCGGTCGTCCTGGCCGTCGTCACCCTGGTCGAGGACAAGCTGGTCGTCCTGGCGGTCGTCGTGCTGGTCTTAGACAAGCTGGTCGTCCTGGCGGTCGTCGCGCTGGTCGTGGACAAGTTGGTCGTGGACAAGCTGGTCGCGGACAAGCCGGTCGTCCTGGCCGTCGTCACCCTGGTCGAGGACAAGCTGGTCGTCCTGGCCGTCGTCACCCTGGTCGAGGACAAGCTGGTCGTCCTGGCGGTCGTCGTGCTGGTCTTAGACAAGCTGGTCGTCCTGGCGGTCGTCGCGCTGGTCGTGGACAAGTTAGTCGTGGACAAGCTGGTCGCGGACAAGCCGGTCGTCCTGGCCGTCGTCGCGCTGGTCGTGGACAAGTTAGTCGTGGACAAGCTGGTCGTGGACGAGCTGGTCGTCCTGGCGGTCCTCGCGCTGGTCGTGGACAAGCTAGTCGTGGACGAGCTGGTCGTCCTGGCGGTCGTCGCGCTGGTGTCGCCCCGTCGGCGGCTTCGCTGCGCTGCGCTGCCTCGTCCCGGCGTGCCGGACCGCCACTGCGAGCTGCGGCACACTGCGACGGGGTGCTGGACGCGGACGGCGAGGCCTCGGCGGCGCGGAGAGAGAGCGTCGGCGTCCCCACCCGGCGGCGGCTCGGCATCAACTGTCGGCGCCGCCCCGCCCCCGCCGCACCGCCCCCGCCGCGACGCCGCCCCCGCCCGCCACCCCCGGGCGGCGCACTGCGGGTGAGGTGGGGGGCGGCGGGGGCGGTGGACGTTAGGTGCAGCCACCAGCCGCGTCTCTTGTTCCGCCTGCCTCTTCGCAACGCTCCTATTATCTGGACCCGCCAGCAACCTGTGCACCCTGGGGATGATTCACACCCCGTCGCGCTGCCGCCCCGCCGCCCCGCCGCCGCCTGGGCCGCTGCTTTGCACCCAGGGCTGTCGGCGCCCTGCGAGCTAGGGGTGCTTCACGGCGTCTCCAGTGGATTTCCTCCACGTGCCGGGCGCGGACTACACGCACAGAATACCCTAGCCTACGACAGGATCCGCACTGCACAGTGGATTGGCCAGAAGACCGGTGGAGACGGCCAAAACCATAGACGCGTTTTGAGCTCCAGAGTCGCTAAACAGGACTCGAACCGAACGTGTGACCCCACCAATGGATTGCTCTCCGAGCGAGGAATCCATTGGTGGCGTCACTCGTTCGGTTCGAGTCCTGTTTAGCGACTCGGTTCTCTCGCAGAGACAGTCTACGCGCACCCCTTGGTGCGGCGGACTCGCCGTCTGCTTGTTCAAGAAGAGCTTTCCCGCCCTAATGTCCGGTTGACACCCTGGCTTTGGAGGGCCACTCCCACCGCACCGCCTGTCTCTCTCCGACCGCATTTCCCTGCACGCTCTAATCTGCTAAGAACCGCTTCTTCACCACTGTGTGCGCCCTTCGGCCAACCCTTCGGCCGACCCTTCAGATAACCCTCTGGCGAGCCACACAGCCACCGTTCAACCAGCTCTTCGGCCGACCCTTCGGCCGACCCTTCGGCTGACCCTACGGCCAACCTTCGGCCGACCCTTCGGCCGACCCTTTGGCCAACCTTTGGCTGACCCTTCGGCTGACCCTTCGGCTGACCCTTCGGCCGATCCTTCGGCCGACCCTTCGGCCGACCCTTCGGCCGATCCTTCGGCCGACCCTTCGGCCGACCCTTCCGCCGACCCTTCCCCCGACCCTTTGGCCATCCCTGCGGCCGTCTGCTCATTTGCTGTTTCATTATCCGCCCTTATCAAAGCCACCCGATCATCCCTCCGCCTTTTTGTGCTTCCCTTCGCCACCCTTCTCTTTTTTCGTCCCTTTTCGCGGAGTGTCTTCCCTTACCTCTTTTCATTCGGTCCCTTCCCTCCCCCGCCAGGTATCCTGATGCTTTGTAGACCGGGCTGCATGCGGTCGGAGGACCCCCCCCCCCTCCCCCCCCTTCCACGCCCCGAGCCTCAGCGGTGTGGCTTTTGTTTGCCTGGACACGCGTCGCCCTTTTGGCAACCGTCGGGCCGTCGGCTGCACCGCCACGCCACCGCAAAGAAATGACTCGGAAAGGGCCCGGCCTGCACAGTGGGCCAGAAGGCCGGCGGTGGCTGCCAAAACTCTAGACGCGTTTTGAGCTCCAGAGTCGCTACACAGGACTCGAACCGAACGTGTGACCCCACCAATGGATTACTCTCCGAACGAGGAATCCATTGGTGGGGTCACACGCTCGGTTCGAGTCCTGTTTAGCGACTCTGGAGCTCGAAACGCGTCTACAGTTTTTAGAGAAGTGGCACCACATGGTGCCTCGAGCCAGGCGAGCCCCGTGCGACTTCGGCAACGCGTCGACACTGGTGTCGGCGTACTGCCTACCCTTCAGGCGCTCAGCAGCCCATCTTCGGACCGCGCGTGTGTGTGCGTGCGTGTGCGTGTGTGTGTGTGTGTGTGTGTGTGTGTGTGTGTGTGTGTGTGTGTGTTTGGTAATTGCTCCTCCCTCCGGTACTAGACAGGCCGCCATGAAGGCAGGAAAAGCGCCAGTGTACTTGTGCGACGGTGCCCCCGTGTCATGATCCAGCCATGCTGCGCGGCTCCGCCTGCAGACTGATTCCGAGAGTCGCTTTCGTCGCTCCGTCTCTCTCGCGACTCACGAGGCGTCCCGCACAGGTGCGAGAGAGACATAGCGACGAAAGCGACTCTCGGAATCAGTCCGCCGCCGGCTCCTCCTCCGCCCCGACAAGTGCAGTCTCTGCAAGTAATCCTCCTTTTCGTGCCGAGAACCACAGCGAGACGACTTCATCGCTCAACCGGAAGCCAAACAGGCCGACCACATAAAAACAGGCCAGCCGAGAGAGAGAGAGAGAGAGAGAGAGAGAGAGAGAGAGAGAGAGAGAGAGAGAAGAGAGAGAGAGAGAGAGAGAGAGAGAGAGAGAGAGAGAGAGAGAGAGAGAGAGAGAGAGAGAGAGAGAGAGAGAGAGAGAGAGAGAGAAAGAGAGAGAGAGAGAGAGAGAAGGTGGCCTCGTCTTAATCGGCTTCTCTAGTGGAGAGAAAAAAAGGACAGGGAAGGAATAAATCCGTGCAGGGAGGATGGAAAGCTGGAAGTCCGACTGTCCTCTGTGTTGCAGCAGCGCCACAGACAGACAGACCGACAGACAGACAGACAGACAGACAGACAGACAGAGAGATTCAGAGCGCCATCTGCAGTCGCGCAACAGACCCGAGGCAATGCAGGGCCCGGTGCAGCAGTGGTGCAGCGGCGGAGAAAGAAACAAGGCTTTAAATCGCCGTCTAATCCCGAGTTTCCGTCCCTCTCCGTGCCAAATGGATTTTGGGCGCCGCTTCCCTATTTACGACTTATGATTCCTCCCCCTTTGACAAATTCATCCATCCGCCGGGCGTTACATAGTGGGCCAGAAGACCGGCGCAGGCGGGTGACCAAAAGTTCTAGACGTGTTTTGAGATCCAGAGTCGCTAAGCAGCACTCGAACCGAAAGTGTGACCGCACCAATGGACTGCTCTCCGAACGAGAAATCCATTGGTGGGGTCACACGTTCGGTTCGAGTCCCATTTAGCGACTCTGGAGCTCAAAACGCGTCTGGAGTTTCGGCCACCTCCACCGGTCTTCTGGCCCACTGTCCGTTTGTTTGCAAGCGAAGTGGCGCCCTGCATCGGCCACTCGTCGCAGCTTTCGTTCCATTCCGCCTCGTTGGAAGGCGGCGACTGCATTAGGCTGATCGCGAATCACGCCCTTTCTTTCGACTTTCTTGCTTCGATTAATCGAATCAATGGAATCCGATTTATTCCGATTTATTCGAGTGATAACGACTGCAGCGCCATCCTGTTTTTCAGGCCCTTTTCCTTCAAGTCCGCCGCCGGCGCCGCCCTGCCTGCTGCACCTCTGCGAAACACGGTCGCGGAACGGAAGCAGGGTCGCCACAATAAGTTTGCAAAAAGCGCGGGAAAAAATTCCCCCGATGCCCCAGGGTTGACAGTGTAGCCAACCCCAGCCTGCCAGCCAACCATGCGGTATCCGCGCTTCGAGAAGTGGCCTGCCGGTGGGCAGCCTGAGGTTGGCAACCCTTTC